AGAGTTTTTGATCCTTCAGGCTTTTGAATATAGGAGGAAGACCTGGACCAAAGGGAACCTCAGAATCCTTTCCTAGAGATCATGTGGATAGGCAAGGTCGAGCAGGGGTTGTCTAGGAAATCTGATGGAGAGAGACAGGGGGCGATGGGAGATAGGGAGGCAACAGAAAGACACGTGTGGCCTGAGCCCCTCAAATCCGGATTCTGACTGAGGGCCATGAAGGACTGAACGTAAGAAAATTCTGAGTCCTTCCCCTGCTTTTGGCAAAAGCTAGTGTGCCATTCAGAGGCCACTTTTTTTGGGGGGGGTCCCCCAGTTTGTAGTGCGGCCAGGCCTTTTGCAGGGTCAAAATTTTCCATTTTCTGAGAATATAGCCAAGACTCATATAGTGAGTCTGAGAGAGGCTCCCAGAACGTCCCAGAACCCACTCTTAGCCTACCTGCCGTAGAATGGGGGTACTGAGAGTCACCGGCTGACAGAAAGGCATCCCTTTAGTCCCAGGGATCTCTCCTTGTGACTAATGGCACAAAAATGGCTGACAGTCCCAACAGTCACGTCTGACAGTGAGCGGTGACCTCTGAGAACCGTGTGGCTAGGGCGCCCTGCGACCCGGGCAAAGACAGACAGAGATTCCTGGGAGCAACCGGGTGACTCACTGTTTGGCGAGTCCCCGCAATGTAGAAGGACTCTTGGGATGGCTCAGAGGCAACACCTAGGCTCCTGTAAATCAACCTGCACCGAAAGGGAAAGATGTGACAGTCACAGGGAAGAAGGCTGAGGAATCCGCCTTACAATCCTATCGGGGAGGCGGTGGCCAGGCGGCAATGGTTTCTGTTTTGCTTCAACCACTATGTGCCTGCCACAGTGCATGCAAGTTGCCTTGCTGGGGGCGGATGCCCTTGTGGTCTGATCCATTCTGTGTCCCCCTTAGCCGCACATGGGTGTCTTCGTGTGGCAGGCGCCCTAACGGCTTTTAAGTGCCTGAGCCGTGCCCACACACTATTGGTTGGCCTAGTCCTCAGTTGGAAAGAAGACAAAGGAGAGACCCTCACCCGTTCGGGCGGCAGCTACTGGGGCGCAGTGAGGCCTTTGGAGCACACCAGAGGGTAAGCCTGGCCTGAGTTCCTCAGCTGCTTCCACAGCACTTGCCTGTTCACAGAGGGTCCCTATGAGAAAGGAGAAGTGAGGAGGTGGGGGAGGAGACCCCAAGGTCCCCGTACAGGCCACCAAAAATGTCGTGGTCTGGGCGTGGGTTGGAAAAGAATTTCCAGACATGAGACAGAATGAGAGGGAAATGAAGTTTATTAGAGTGGGAGACGCTGTTAGAACAGCGGGCCAGCTCAAGGGAGAACTGACACTGAACAGGGGTCCTTAGTCCACTTTTATACCCAGGGTACAAGGAGTGGGATGGGGGTCATGTGCTGATGGGATGAGGCATGTATACTGGGTGGGGGAAGAGGAGGGCAGAAACCTTCTCCCTATGGGGTAGGAGGGGAGACAGGTTATATTGTTCCATAATAGTTGCAACATGTGGGAGGGAAGGACGTCGAAGAGTCTGGTTTTTCCGTTCCTGTATTCTAAGACCCTCCTTGGTTTTATCTACTCTTTCGTCCTTGGGTCACCACATGGGTGTTACTGTCTGTGGGTGAAAAATAGGCCACAGAGGACAGAGCAGGGCATCTTAAAGGCCAGAGTGGTAGATTTAGGACAGCTACTGCACCCAGGGCCCCATTCCTGAAAGAGTTTCCAAGTCCCCATTTAGGAGATAATAACTTAGCACCCTTTTACACTATTTTATCTTCTGGCCAAATGGAAATTATGAGAAACTGAGCAAGAATTTGCATAAATAATTCACAGGAAAAAATCTGAGTAGACAATAGATATATAGTGGTAGCCAAAGAAATGCAAATTAGAAACAACTAATTTTTACTAAAGTGGTAAAAATTTTAGAGGGATTAACAAAAAGATGAAGCACTGGCAAGGAAGCACTGAGACTGTTGCTCATGCTCTGCTGGTAGGCATGCACCCTGGGATAATCTTATGGAAAGCAATTTTGCAAAAATGTAATCAGGATCTGCTAAAATTTCATCATCCAGAGTTAGTTCTAAAAAATCTACCTTTTGACTTAAGAGTCCTACTTCTCCAAGCATCTATATAAGAATATAATCAGAGATGTAGACAAGTTTTCAATGCTATGATGTACATTAAATATTCCAGAGTTACTCAGTATAGTTAGAACTGAAAATAACATAAATGTCTAACAATGAAGGAAAAATGGTAAATTATGATATGTTCATACAATTCACTCATTCCACAAATACTTATGAGCACCTGCATAATGCCGGAAACTGTTATAGGCCTGGAGATTCAAGAAAGAAAAACCTCATTGTGGAATTTACGGATCACTGAAGATCAAGCTTTCAAAGAATATTTAATGACAAGAAGGAAATGCATTACAGTGTTATGAAACAAAATTATATAAACAATATGATCTTAATTTTGCTTAAAAAATTATTTACCCTTAACAAAGGTAATGGGTACATGCAAGATAAATATTGGTTGTTTTTAAGGGATAAGATTTTGGATGATCTTTAAATTCTTTGTATTTTTGCATTTTCCATCTTAGAATCACAATTATTTATAAATTATTTTAAATGACATTTTGAAACTAATTTCAGTTGTACTTAAAAATGCTCACAGAAAATTTTAAATGAAAAATAACAGACCACTGAAGTATATAGCCTCTATGACCTCCCCTTCATTATGTCATGTATATAATAGAAATATAATGAAAAGGAAAGACATAAAAATGCTAAGTTATCATCTCTGGGGTGGAAATTTCTGAATATTAGAGTTTTCTTCTCTTTGTATTTCATTAATTTTGTACAATGAATAAGATTTCATTTTATAATCAGTAAAAAAGTATTAAAATGTTAGGCCTGTATAGGCTTGAATAATCTTGAGAAATGGGAAAAGGAAATAGCATTATGGAAACTTTTTTTTTGTTTAACTTTTTCCATTTTTCTTCCCTCCCTTCTAGTTTGTCAATTTCTTCTGGATAGAGAAAGAGCTCCTCTTTCTCTATCCAATTAAAAAAAATATGCTGGATTCCTGAATTCTTTTTTAAAAATTGAATGTTATAACCTATTACTACCACACATATTTTAAGAAATTCTACCTTAATATATTTATATTCCCCTTGAACTAATATGACCTTAAGATACTTTAGTGCTAGCAAGTATCAATCAACTCACTAGCTATTATCATCCAGAATATTAGTTCAATCTTGTTTTTTTAATCCCATAAATTTTAAGCTAACAAGATTTTATGTTGCCATTTACCCAAGTGTTTCCCATTGTCTTTGTACACCATTCCTTTTTTATCTTAAATTTTCCATCTTTGAGTTCTTCCTTCCTGGAGTATATCCTTTACCAAGAATCTGCTGGTAATAAACCCTACTTTGGTTTGCATGGAAACCTCTTTATTTTGCTTTCATTCTTTCAAGATGGCAATGGGTAGCATTCACATAAAGATCTTTGGTCCTCTAACAGTTCAGTTGTAGTGAAGTTACAAGATAATTTAGATGGAAAATATTTGGTGAACAGCAGAAAAAAAGCATATAAACTTTTTATTATTTGAGATTCTCATTCTTAGTTCTGGTATATTCATACCATTAAAATTAGGATATAAATCACATTTAACCAGTTGATTTTCTAAGCCTTGCTAGATTCAGGCAGAAATGTTGGCAACAGGGATTGAAAGGAGCGAAGTTTCTGAACACTTCCCACGGGACATCAGCATCAGTAGTTCCTACTATCCTCGTAGGATATTTAGCCAGGACTCTGGCTGTGGTCTAGAACTAAGGTCCCTGCAGTTGGTGACTCAGGTAACCCATTCCACATCAGTGGAAAAATCTGCCACTTAAAAAAACAGAACAAAACACCTTAGTGCTACTTTTTCATTTTGTATAGGAGTTAGGGAACTTGCCAACTTGTGAGGCTTTAATATGCAATAATTAGAGGTGGTCAAAATCACACCATTTACTAAAGAAAGCAGTTCAATGCTTCCTTAAAAATATTGAGCTCTTCTGTCTTCCAGTTTAAGTAACTGTATCTTCAGCTGGATGAATGCTGTTATTGAACTAATGTAAGGGTTGGCTTGTTACTGGGAATTTTCAGAGATGTTTTATTCCCTTTACCCAGAGCCAAGACCACACAGGCAAGATTCCTTAGGGGAGTTTTCTGCCATGCAATTTTTTAGGGGAAGTTCACCTTTTCATTATGGTTATTGCTGTTTGGGGTTTTAGTCTTATTTAGGTGTTTCAGTTTGACTTCCCACCTTGGGTGGTCCCAGGGATTTGTCTGCTGTCTGCCTTGAAAAGAATCTGTCTGCCAATGCAGGAGATACTGGTTTGATCCCTGGGTTGGGAAAATCCCCTGAAAGAGGAAATAACAACCCACTCCAGTATTCTTGCTGGGATAATCCCATGGACAGAGGAGCCGGGGGGCTATACAAACACTACCTTGTGTGAAGTATCCTGATAAAGCTACAGGCTACCTCATCAGAGATCAGTAGATGTACCCAGGACAGACTTTAGTTTCTGTCATCTCAGTTTCTTGCCAGCTGAGCTATATATTTAAAGAGTTGTTTTTAGAGGGCTCTGCATCTTTAGGAATTTAGTACAAAGATTTCTTACTCTGCCATATTTTCTCCCACTGAAGGCCATTCCTTCCTATCTTTCCACTTGAAACTTCCCAAGAGCTCCCTTTCAGTGAGTGTACTGTGTCCTCCCCAAGTGGCTCTAAGTGGATGCAGGGAGTCATTTCTAGTGAGTTCTGCCCCAAAAGAGCTGTCACCAAAGAAAGGCTAAACTTCTCCACATAGTTTTATTTGCACCCAGTGAAGTACTGTTATCAGATGCTGAACCTTAGCAGACATCAGCATAACTTGAACCCAAATTATTTGAGGATAAATGGATTATTGGCTTTTGTGTATTTCAGATTTGGCGCAAATACGATGCTGACAGCAGTGGCTTTATATCAGCTGCTGAACTTTGTGTAAGTGTTGCGGGGAGCTGTCCCTGGGCGAGCGTCAGGTTAGCTCATTCCTGGGAATTTGATATGTGTGTATCATGAGCTTGATTTCTGTGTTCCCAAGAAACATGGATATGAATTTGCTAATTTTAAAAAACTGATTCGTGTTTAGAAGGTTTAGAAACCGTAGGTGACACTGATTGCTCTCTCTGGGAAAGACATAATTGAGGATTTATGACACCTTTTTATGCTTTGAACTGTTCCCTGGGTTCTGTTTAAACAGTGCTCCCTTCAAACTGTGACAGCCCTGCATTTTGGACTTCTTGCTTGATAAAATGCATCACATTTCTTCCCTAAAACAAGCAAATGACAATCCTTCAAAAACAGCTTCGAGATTTCTAGGTTTATTTGTCACTAGATAAAATGCGGCTTTTCTCTTGATCTTACAGAACTTCCTCCGAGACCTCTTCCTCCACCACAAAAAGGCCATTTCAGAGGCTAAGCTGGAAGAATATACTGGCACCATGGTGAGTAACTGAGCAATGCGATCTCTATGAAGACAGTTTCCCCACCATCTCCCCAGGGCCCAGAAACAGCATTTGGCACAGAATTAAGGGCTCTGTGAGTGTTTGCAGACTAGACAAATGCATGAAAAGACCTTCAACTCTGGGAAACAGTGATTGAATTTGAGCTACTTTAGTCTCTCTCTTGGGATGAGAATGCATGCATTTGAAAGAGAGCTGCTCACCTATCCTTAGGGAGACCTGGAAAGTCCAGTTAACATCAGGTTACTAAGCACCAGTCAGTAATCTCAAGTTATTGAGGTTAATCCAAGTCACATAGAAACAAGGAAACGTGGACCTAGACAACCAGGACCAAACACATGGGAGCCCCCCACTCCCTCCGCCCCTCCTCCCCCCATGGATGATTCTATGCATTTAGCACATTCATTGAGGGCAATGGAGAGTCAGAAAGCTGGGAAATACATATTCCACCTTTGCCAACTATAGGTATGACCTTGAGAAATGGTCTATTGTTGTTTACTTCAGCTGAAAAATGGGGATTAATAATACCTAATTGCTGCGAGGGCAAGTCAGTGGATGCATATGAAGTGCTTTGCAGAGCATCCAGGAAATAACCAACATTCAGTACGTGTTAGCTCTTCCTGTAGCAGTTGTTGTAGTCCTTGTCATATTTCCTTTGGCCACTCGTGCAATCATATCCTAAATGACCTCAGATTATTTTAGCATCAAAGTTCCCTGGAAAATGGTGAAGGAGGAGAAGGTGCGAATTCATTCTTACATTCTCATTCAGCTCCTAGTTTGAAGCTTTTCTCCCAGAGCTACTCTGTAATAATCTGTACTGAATCTAATCTGGTTTCTCGACCTTTTGTCTCCCCTAAGTCCCTTCCCATCCCCAAATGTCTGTTTCATTCCAACCAAACTCTGTAGGTTTCTTAATTAATAAGCAAGAAAACTACTGGTAAAGGTTTAATTGCTTGTGTAATTGCTACACTTACTATAGAAAGAGTTCTTAAATACACTCATCTTACTGAACCTTTTGGTGAATCATCAGGGCTGCATATCACGGAGAAGAGTAACGGATCCCTGTTAAAATGTGTACTACAAGGTTGACCTATTTAGGCCTTTAATTGATGCTTCCAAATACTGTATTATTTCTAACAACTCTTCTATAGCCTTGGCATTGTTCCTGCTATTCTGTATATCTGATGGTTGAGGCTTAGAAAGGGTAAGTGACTAAGCTACCACCAAGTTGATTTCCTAAACTCCTTCCAAAAATCTGATTAACTGGGAAATGATAAATTGTCTAGCCTAAGGCACCAGTTAAACTGGAAGTTGGGCTGCTGGCTTTCAGCCCTGGATCTTCTGGCTCTCGCTCTGTATTCCGACTACTCTGAATGCTGTCCTCAGCCAAAGGCACAGGCCCTGGGAAGGAAGAATGTGGTCTTGACCATGACAACTTAGAAATGGCCTGGATAGGAGCTAAGCCGATCCTCAGGACAGACTCACACCCCAGACAAGGAAATAATTTGGCTTCCTATTATGTTGACCTGTTTTAATAACATGCATAATACTGTTTGAAATCCTTTGACAGGCTTAGCACTAAAGACTGAGTGGGAAATCCCTGAGAAGCAGGAAGCAATTTCCCACCTACCGGTGTATCTCTGGTTTCCTTTTGTCCTAGGTTCCTGTGAAACTCTCTAATAGCATGAATACTCTGAAAAAGGAAATTAGACTGAAACTGCCTGGGAGAGAGAATAATAAGGAGATTACTCTTCCAGTTGGGCATTTTTTTCCAACACTGATTTAACATTATGTTAACTCTGGCTGTTGTTACCTTGATTTTACTAACTTATAAAGCAGACCTTAGGCAGTGAAATGCTTGCACTAAGAATCCCCAGGAGATTTCTAGTATTTATTTGAATACCTTCAACTCTGAGGGGCTTCCTCCCACCTCCAACTAGAATACTAAGCCACTACTTTCTGACTTTTAAACATAGCTCAGCTATTTTTTCCTTACTTTTCTCCACCTGGTTCTTGCTCATCCTTCAAGACTTAGTTAGAAATCATCTTGCTCTCTTCCATCATCTTCTTCTATAGAGGTTCCAAGTGCCTCTCCTCTGTGCTCCTATAGTATCTTGTGTATTTCAATGTCTTAACATCATAGTCATCTATTTAATTCACTTTGCAAATATTCATTGAATACCTGCTATGCCTCTGGCACTATTCTAGTCAGCAAGGATTCAGCAGTGAGCAAAACAGAGACTGACACTAATGATAAACATAATAAATAATAAATTACATTGCATGATAGAAGGTAATGAGTGTCATGGAAAAAATTAAACGGTAGACCAGATAGTGCCAGCAGGGCAGCTAGGATGGGAGATTGGGGAGAAGGTGTGATTTTCAACAGAGTGGTCAGGGTGGCCTTTCAAGATGATGCAGTTTGAGAAAGGACCAAAGGTACAGCAAGCAGGGCCCCTGGGTCAGGGGTGTGCCTAGGGTTTCTAGGAACAGGAGACCACCAGTGTGGCTGGAGCAGAGTAAGTAAGGATGACACAGAGGCCAGACCAAGTCAGGCTTTGGGGACCCTTGTGAGAACTTGGGGGTTTAGTTGGAGGGAGATGGAGGGTTTGAAGGAGAGAATGCCATGAGCTGGCTTTTGTGTTGAAAAGCACCTGAAATAGGCAAGGAGGGAATCAGAAGGATCTGTTAAGAGGCTACTCCTTCATCCAGGTGAAAGGATGGCAGCTTGGATCAGGGCTGGGAAGCAGAAGAGATGAGAACCAGATCTGTTTGAAGATGGAATCAGTAGGATTTCCTGATGAAATAGCTGAGAATCAAGGGTGACGCTGACACTCTTCACGGATCTTGCACTCCACTAGCTGTGATTCATCTGGGGCAGGGTGGCATCTTATCTGCGTGTTCTTAGCCCTCACACGGAGCCTGGGACACAGTGGGCTCCCTAATGAATTCTGTTATTACCTAATAGACAGCTAGGAATAAACCCTGACAATATCAGTAAACTTTGCCCTTGGGATCCTCCTGCTTCTCTTATGTGTGTTCCTCATGACCCTCCAGCCCCAGCGTGATTCCTGCTCCCTCTTGGGGTGTCTTCCATACTACATACTGCTCATGGCAGCATTTTGCACAGACCTGACATTCCTCCAGCAGTGTTTCATGCTCTGAAATTCTCCTTGTTTTCTTTTTTAAAACCAGACCTTCCAGGGCAGAACCAGAAAGGGTGCCTGGGAGTGCTGGGCTCCATCCTTGGGTGTCTCCCTGGGATCCTTCATCACAGAGTCATCCAGAGGGATCCCAACCAGAGAGTGGGTATGAGCCACGCTGAGCCCAGTGTATGGAGACAGACAGGGAGATGGGAGCCCCATGCTGAAGAGAGCAAGCAGGAGCTATAGGAGTAAGGGCTAGAGCTGGAGGCAGCTAAGAAGACCGAGCAGAGCAAATCCAGAAAAGACAATCGGAGCAGGACCTGCCTAGGATTTGTCCTCATGGACTCGGGAGTCACGTCACTGTGTTCCTTTTCTTGAGTCTGAAGTGGTTTTTCGGGTCTGAGGGGTAGGGTCTCACAGTGACTGAGAATACCCACTCCCTCACCAAAACCCCCACTTTCTTAATGCTTTTCTCTCCAGTTAGAATGTGATCTGGTAAACTAGTTCACACAAAGATGTGAATTCATTCCTTCAACGACTATTTAGGGACAACCTACCAAGAAAGATACAGTCTCTGACCTTATAGTTTTCTCCAGTTGGGAGAAAATTTGATTAAAAAAGCAAAGGGAAAAGGAGCAAAAATTCACTCTGGTCCCTCCCTTCCATCCCTGCTGTGCATGTCACTGCGATACTGTATCTACCTGTAAGTAGCAGCCGAGTTCAATTTTCCCTTCAGTGCTTAAATACGTCGACGTCACCTTAAAATACAATTAAAATATTTTTAAAAAGTATTCCTGATTAAAAGAAAACAAAAACAAGATGCATTACAATGAAGCAGCAATTCTAGAACTTTAGCAAAGGCAGGACGAGAAAAGTTAGGTGGTCAAAAGGGAAAGGCCGGGGGAGGGATAAATTGGGAATTTGGGATTAACAGATACACACCACTATATATAAAATAGATGAACAACAAGGACATACCCTATAGCACATGAAACTATTTAATACCTTGTGACAACCTATAATGGGAAAGAATCTGAAAAAGAATATATACACACATACGTATGTATAGCTGAATCACTTAGCTGTATACCTGAAACACTGTAAATCGACTATTCTTCAATTTTTAAAAAAGAAAAGGTAGGTGAACAGAATGAAAGTTAAATTTTTAAAAGATGTTTTCTTAACATTCAGTACTTTATTTTCATTGAAACACTGCCAGTGTTTTCTGGTACTAAATATCTTAATCATAATTATTGAGACTTCCTTTTGTGCTAGGCCCTGTGCAAAGCACTTTTCAAACATCTCATTTGATTCTTACATGAACTTTATGAAACAAGTATTTAAATAAATAACCTATTTTATAAATTAAAAAACTGAGGATTATAGGTCAGAAATGATAAGGATGGAGCAGAAATTCCCAGACCCCAATCTATCTTCACACTGTATTCAAACTGAAACATTTATGACTGAAAGTCTAAGTGCTGAATTATAAAATTGAAACTTTTCAAAAGAGGGAGGGTTAAGCTCTATGAGAAATCAAGAGGTACAAATCCCTACAAATAAAGTGAAGAGCAAGGTGAGGAAAAGGCCATGTTAGGAGATTAGGATTCTCTTAATATTTTTATAGATAAGATAATACAGGAGCTCTGACAGCCAAAACAGAATTTATGACCCAGAAAAATTGATTTTTCTCCTCATGAAGGACCTAAACAATCCTGCAAACTGACATCTTATTAAACACCAAAGAGGAAATAAAGCAGTGAAAGACAATGGGGAACAAGAATGGGTTCTACAAAACTGTTCTGGAGAAGAGAGGAACACTGATTGATTAAACTG